CGTCTAGTCGTCCCGGCATGCTCGGCGGAGGCACGGCTGAGCACCCACAGGAGGGGTCGTAAACCAGCAGTCGGCAGACATGTGGGCAGTAGAGGCACCACATGCCGGGCGCGCACAAAAGGGCTCAAGTCCATCAAGCGCAATATTCACAGCATGCGGAGTGCAGGCCGAGCAGGACACCGCTTTGTGAACAATGTTGCTGCGCGGGTTTACCAGGAAGGCCCGAAGGTCATCAGATGTGTGGGCCGCCGGGCGCTTGGGCCGGACGGCCAGCTTCGATTTTGCAGGGACTGAGGTTTCAACGTCACTGGCGGAGGCGGTTGACACATCAGAGTCGGAACTGTCAGCCGAGAGTTCCGGAACATCATCGACAGGAGCTGTGGCACTGGGCCTGGCGTGAGGAACCGGAGAACGGGAACGAGGGGGAACATCTTTAGGGGCCTCGCCTGCCATGTGGCGGTCCGGAGGGGGCAAGGAGACCCGGAAGTCAGGAAGAGGGCGGGACGCACCACGAGCAACCGGTTGCAAAGGGCGGAATCCCGACCGGATGCGGTTGATAACTTCGGATTGCAACAATAACATGGGGGCCAACATCGTCCCTGCTATAGACGCGGACGGATCCTTCCATAGCGGACGGCCGGTGATGGCCCTGCAGGCGGCGAAGCTCCGGACTCAAGTGACACTGCCGGGCCCAGCTGAGGACGGTGGCTTTGCACGAGTGCACCCCAAAGCGGGCATGTTCCGGAGGGGGCGGAGCGGAACCGTGTTCTCGCCAATGTTCGTCCAACAATGCCCGGAGCCAGGGCATGGCCCGCGACCGGTGCAATGGAGAAACCATGACCAAGGATTCGGTATCCGGAGCAAGCAACGGCAGCAGAAAATCCACAGACCGGCCGGGGAAACGGAGTCGGGTGTCCGCCAGGGCACGGTTTACCAGATTAAGCCACGACAGGCCCCAGCAGGCAGAAGGGCCCCCGGTGAGGCCGAACAGTTGACAACCCCACGGCATGGAGGCACGGCAACTTTTCGTGCGAGTGGCCAGGCCAGTCACGGCGGAAGAGTCGTACTGAAGCACCAAGCGGTCGGGCGGAGACCACAGCCCGTCGTTCCAGCGCAAGCTGGACCAGATCAAGCATAGCACGGATCCCATCACCAGGGCATCCCGGGCCGGCGTGTCCGGACACATAACTCGACGTTCCAGCCAGGCCACAAAAGAGACGGAGAACGGTAGGGATTCTCGTCGTTCAATGGGGATGGTAGCGGTGAGGAACGCAGTGCACAACGGAGTTTGCAGTTGCGCCGCCAAGGAAGGCAACCCAGCAATGCGCGACATCCAGCTAAGTGACTTGAAAGCCGAAGTTGCCAGTCCGGAGGGGGCGGCGTTCCGGTGAAGCCAATCAGGAACGGCCCCAGGAGCCGGGTCGGAACAGCTGAAACCGAAGCGGCGACAGTGCAGAACCCAGGCACTCCAGAGACGCAGATAAATCGTGAGGGTAGATGGGGCAAACTTCGCGACCGCCCGGGTTTGGAGCTCACGGGGGGACGGCACCAGTTTCGTGTGGAGCCAAAGCGTGCAGTCATCACCAAGGTCCTGCACGGCATCGCAAAAGGCAGCCCTCAAAGTCACAAGGGCGGCCTCGGCAGCGGCGGCCATAGAGGACCCAGAGTCCGAGGCCGAGGCAAGGGGAAGAGGCCCGAGGATGTAATTGCCGGATGGGGCCGGGGTGTCATCGCCAGCGTCGGGCAACAAAGGCGATTTGGAGCCGGACCCAGAAGACACACGACGCCCCAACGGCATAAGACGGGGTACAGGTGGAGAGAAGACGGACGGCCCACAAGGGAACACAGGAGCGCGGCGGACAGGGACCCGAGGGCAGAGAAGAAGTCCAGGCGCGGCCGAAGGAGGCGAGCAGGGCTTGGGCACCGGCCTAGGGCGCGGGCACCAGCCAGGCAGACGCAGGCTGTCAGGAGGGCAAGCCAAGGGCGGGACGACCAAGGAAGCCAGGCCAGGAAGGGCCAGGTCAGACACACCAGAGGCAGATGCAGGAGAGTTGGATGAAAAGCCCGCGACCAGCTGGAACCCGGCCTCAGTCCCATCCGATGCAAAAAGGTCCGAACCAGGGGAACCAAGGGGGCTCAACGGAGGGCGGGCCGCAACAGGGGTGCACGGCTGGGCCTCATCCGAAGGCAGATGCAAGCATTGCCCTGGACACGGGCCCGGAGCCGGAGGCTCACAGCACGGTGCCGCAGGCAACACAGGTGCAAATGATGACGCGCCTGACAGGAGCAGACTCAGAGGAGCAACCTGTGGAAGCACGCCGGGCCGCGGCCACGAGGATTTCGGTGTTACCTGACAAGGGCAGAGTGAAAGGCAAACCAGAAGACTGACAGCACAGGCCTCGGAGGGGAGCGGAACCTGAATCAGGGCAGCATGCAAGAGTAAACCGTCAGAGCAGGAACATGCAACATGTAAGCGAGCAGAGGGCTTTTGCAGTTCCGCCGGGGCAGCCACATCCAGAACCCACCGGTCGGATTCGGATGACCGGTGAGACGCAGGGAGGATGGCCACCGGAACGCGGGAGGTAGGAAGATTAAAGCCGGGTCGAAATAATGATTTATGCTTCAGAATCCCGGGGAAGAAAAGACCATAAATGCTGATACCACCGGGGCGGATCAGAGGCCATCCTCCATACAATTATGGCATTTGTGGCCGGTGTGAGCCGTCCGGCTGTAATACAATATCGGCCGGAGGCAACAGCGCATGCAGCGTGGGCCTCGCGCCGGGCAATCATGGCTACAATAGCCACGGATCCGGAGGTGCGTCAGGCCGGACGGGGGCTGCTGGATCGGTACCCATGGCGGTAAGTCCTCCAGCTCAAAGCAAAAGAGGTCCGCGTAAGGCCATGTTTCCGGATCGCGGACAAACGGGCTGGGAGAGTCCGGAAGGCAGATGGACAGGCGCATCCAGCCCTCTGACTTATTCCACGGACCGGTGTTGATACGTCTCGGGGTCAGCGGGGCATTCGGATCGAACTGGGGTGTCACCGAGGGCCGGTTCCGGTCACAGTGCACCAGGGGCACATCCAGAGGGATTGCCCGAGTGTCGGTCCGGGCAACGCGGGCTGGCGGGAAGCTGGGCTGGGGGCGGGCCAGGTTCTCCTCAATAGCCGCGGCACCATCACGGTCCGGTAAGCGGGGGCCCTCCGGCATGGAGCGTGCGCCAACCGGACGGTACTGCCCCGGAACGGCGGGGGGCCGGGTAGACTGCTCGGCCAGCACGGAGATCGGCGCCTCGACGTCATACTGCCCCAGGTTGGCCAGGGCATAGAAGTTGTCCTGGCACACCTCGGAGAGAAGCACCATCAACCGGGCAGCCTGGCTCAGCGGAAGGTCGGCCAGACCGGCGTAGACCAAGTAATCTGCTTCGGAAAGGAACTCCAGCATGACTTGGCGAAGGGCGCGCTCTCGATCCGGATCATGCGGCGGAGCCATCCACTCGGCCGGGCGCTGCTCAGAGCCGGACGCTGGCTGACCGGATCCGGAAGCTTGCTGACCAGAATCCGCCGGGCGCGTGTCAGCCGATGCCGGTGGAGTCACAGCAGCTGGCGGGGGGTTGGTAGGCAGGCCACCGGTTGTGGGCGGATGCTTGGGAACCGCTTTGGTTTGGATCACCGAGCGGCAGGCTGGGTGGGAGCGGCCGGGGCAGTGCCATCACCAGCAGGAGCACCAGCACCAGAGCGGGCTCCGGAGGCGGCTTTGGAAGTGGCCAAATACCCGCCGGGGGGGTCCACAGGAGCGGCGGCAGGCACCGGAACCGGATCATTGGCGGCGGCCGGCTGCCCATCGCCAGCATTGTCGGCCGGGGCAGCAGCCGGGCCAGGTCCAAAGGACGGCGTAGTTGGGCCGGCTCCCAAGCCAGCCTGAGCGTACCGCAAGCCACGGGCCAGATCGCGAAGCGGGTGAGATCCTCCGAAGCGGTTCATGCTGGAAGCAAAGAACGGGAAGGATCGGGAGGCAGAAAGCTTGAGAGCGGGAATGCTGCTGCATGCGCGCAACCGGAGCTCAAGCATGATCAAGAAAATCAGAGGCGAACGGACATAGCGGGCAGTCCGGGCCTCCGCGGCGGTAGCAGCAGGGGTCGTCGCACCGAAGGTGGACGGACCGGACTGCGGCCTCAGAAAAAGAAATTGAAAAAGGGGCTCACCGGAGGACCGAGCGCCAGACACGGGCACCGGAACGGAGGGTGAACGCCTGAAGCACAGCGGCAGATAACAGTAACCAGAGTGCTGGGGCCAACCAACCTCGAAGCGGAGGAAGGAGACCGGCGGCTGCTCGATGAAGTCGGAGAGGGCTGCCACGCGGTGACACCCAACCGGACTCTAAGGCAATACCGGAAACCGGCCTCCCGGCGACGTCGAAGGCGACGACGGCGGGGCCGGGGAGTGGAGTCTGAGGAGGAACTCCTCGGCATCAAGCCGTGACAGCCTAAACTTTAACTAGCTGAACCGTACCGGCTGAGATGGCACGGACGGGCAGCTTAAGTCGAACGGCTGCGGTAGGACTTGCCGTTGCGATGCTTCCGGAATAAACAAACCACGAACATTCGAATCCCCACAAGAAACGTCTCTGCACATGAAACCAACGAGGTCAACCCGGGAACATCCACAAAGCAAATCTCCCGAGCAGACACCAGCATGTTTTTCCAACTGTAGCGTACTTCTGCGGCATCAGACGGTAGAACCCCCGCGGATTGGTTGAACCTCCCACGCCGCACCCCGTATCGCGGTGTAGCCTCCGGCGCCACACCGGTGAAACCTCCCGCGCCGCACGCCGCGTCGCGAAACCCCCACCGTTGGAACCTCGCGAGTCGCACCCCAGGACGACCCGTTGGATACCGAAGGCTCTAAACGCTTTCGCTGCCACGCCTCACCCTGTATCGTGGCCCACGCAAAGGCTACGAGAATACCTGCAAAGCAAATCCCTGCGACTTGGGCTGCAGCCACCATCGTATAGGCTCGCCCGTCGTCGTGTATGTGCCTATACATACAAGATGGCGACATGCAATAGCATACAGCTTGCTGGTGCGGCACGAGTCATCTCAAGCCCTGCACATTCGCTGAAAGAAATCTCTGGACCACGAAGCTGTTGAGATGATATGGACCTCTGCTGCCATACACCAGTGGTCACCCGGCCACACAATTTAGGCAAGCGAGCTTTCAGCCTGTGTATGTTCCTCCTCTAGCAGCAGGCTGGCCCAATGTCCTCATGCATGCCATATAAGCAAAGAGTTTTGGAGGACATGAGATACCACATCGGGTCTCTAAGGCATGATCGAATCCGATACCGCCACATCCATCGCAAGGGCCAGAACCTGAGCAAGCAAAGCGCGGACCGCGACGACCACGGTTCAGCAGCACTGTGCCAAGTAGCCATGGCAGCAAGCAGCAAATGTACATCTGCATCTCGCCCTGGACGTAGTTCACGCTTAAGGGGGATGCAACAAGCGTACGGGGGTTTGGGATGGGTTGGGACACCGATCAGCGCGAGTCATGATCAAAAACGAGAAGTGCAATTCAGCACGTACTTGCGACATGGTGATTTGAGAAGCCGAACATCACAGCAGCAAACGCTAGCCGTAACGGTAATCACAAGTTGCAGCTCAATGACTCAGGCATGGGGTTCCGCGCTCTGGTTCCCAAAGTTACCGTGAACGCCCCTTCTACTAATCAAACTCTTGCTCGAAAATCTTGCACATTGTTGCCATTGGCTGGCGTAAGCATCTTTGGTGCACCATTGCACGCACTTTTGCGCGTCCCTGCATTTGCAGCCTGGACTGCATGTTGATTGTCCAGTCTCTGCTAAGACGGCTGTTCTCTCCAGCCTTTAACGCGAGGCTGCGTTCCATGAGGAGGCGCTCCCAAGCCGTCCGCACCCCTGCCCAGGTTGCCGACAGGCAGAAGGTGTGCTCACCGTCTTAGTCACAGACGCCTAGCCAAGAGTCTGCATGCTCGATGTGCTTCCGTCGGGTCATGAGCATGACTACATGCACACCTGAGCGGGCTTGAGAGCACGCGCTGCTCCAAGAAACGCGATCCCAGCGAAACCTGTTGGGAGGTCATCTGGAAGATTCAGGTCCTGCAACTGCGTCTGACCCCCTGCAGAAATTGTGTGCACGGGCTGGTCCTGAATCCGGCGGCCTCGAGGCCCATGGAGCCAGCATCGCAACTTGGCCTTGAATGCTTCGGCAAGCTTTGCAGGTTTAAAAGCAGGGATCGGATCGTCTGTTCGGCTAGAGCAGCACACCCTCAAACCCAGACTCTGAACCCAAACCGGTCCAGACTCTCCCACCCTCTCACCCCTCCGTTCCTCGAACACCCAATCCGCCCAAACGCCTTTGACAGTTATGGCAGCTAGGGGGGTCGAGAGACTCAAGTCCTAAATTGTCGGATGCTTTCACCGACGATATGAACCGTCAGCAAGCCAGGTTTCGGGTTTGCCCGCTGATGAATGGATGCCGCGACGGTAATCGAGGTTGAAACTGCGAAAGTGTCCGCTCCGTGCATGTCTTTCGTTTGCGCTGTGCTTCTAGTCATTCCGCTTCAGGTCTGGCAGCGACCGTTCGAGGTACTGTGTCAGGCTCCTGGGGTTGCGGAAATCGGCTAGCACTACCATGCTCGGAACGGTTGCCTTGCCCGGACCCTCCAACAAGCTAACACCTGCCAACATCCAGCTCAGCCATGCACCTCCGTTTCAAGGTTGGGGACTCTCCCACAACATCGAGTTTGCCAGCATATCCTTTTACGGCTTCGGGTTAGAGGTTTGCTCACCAACATCAGAGAAAATGTGCATTCCTATACGAATGGTGTTACACCAAACCATGCTGCTGCTGCGTGGTCAGCAGGAAAGCCGCTACTACTAAGTTTCTGCCAATGGCATATGCAAGAACCTTTGCAACCACGATTGGTTTCTCTGTGCAAATCGCAAACACTTACACTTCCCGCTTCGAAGCAATGCGTGGATGTTGTCATGATAACATACCAAGATCCAGAACTCAACATTTAGGTATCTCGCCTCGCATGGGACCACATTGAGCCTGAACTGCGCTCGATATCTCGGATGCACTGGGATGTCACAAGCCACTGCCTGCAAGTGTTCCTCCTTATACCTTCTTCCGGAAACCAAAGAATGAAAAAGTACAGTGACATCTTCAAGTGTTTGGAGTGTCTCACCCGAGCAAGCAAGCCGTAACCGTCCCTCTTCCCTTAGCCATGCAGCGAATCGTCGCAAAGCCAGCGGAACAGCGCGACCATAATATGCAGTGCTCATGAGACAATGCGCAGTACTTGTAAGAAGATGCACTGCAATTTCGAGAATGACATGACAACAGCAAAGCTGGTGGAACGCTATTTCCCCTGTCATGGGGGCGACAGCGCCTGAAAGCTGACTTGCTGATCGACTCTAGAGACCTGTACCACCTTGAAAGAAGAAGCGCTGCACGTCACAGGAATGTAAAGCTGCCGGCTAGTGGACGAGTCGTGTCTCGAGGTGATCATGATTCGAAATTCGACACTTTCATGTCCGGGGAGGCGGTAGCGTATGGGGTATTCGCAATCACGACCTCAGTCGGAGACCAAAAAAAAACATCCTGAAAACTCAGGGGCGCGGCCACCCCTGAAGATTTGGCTGTTGCTGCCTTCGGCAACACAACAGCCCGGCCAAAATGGGAACTGAACAAGCACAGGGATTGAAGCTGGAACGTGGATAATTCGCGACCTGGCTCGGCTCACTGGCAACCTCAAGCAACAAAGCAACAAAGCAACAAGCAATCAAGAGATCCCGTTTTTGAAGTCTCGCTTAATGAAGAACCGGATCACAGAATGCTTCCGGTAGGGGCTCCAGCGAAACCACTGGGCCCGCAAGCAATCGATCTCGAAAAAGTCTTCAGTCCAGCATCTATCCAAAGCCTTACCTCAAGCGACATTTGGAGCAGTGGTAGGACCTTGCACTTCCAAGCCTGCACAGCCTGCAGCCGAACAGAAATGCAACATAATAACGCGGGGAGTTCTATCTGAGCCTTCAAGAGCTGCAGAGCATTGCAGAGCACTCATCAGACATGAAGGATGTCTTCAGGCTTCGAAGAACCCTGCGAATCCGCAGTGACCTTGCCGGATTTGTTCCCATCAGTGCTCGCAAGATGGTCGTGTGTACCTGCAACCTTGCACTCCATGCAAAGGTTACTACGGCCCGTGATGTGCCATCCTTTGGAAAAGCACAAGTCTACAAAGTTGCTGGAAGCCGGAAAATCAAAGCGAACTTCGAGCGCTGTTGAAGCTAATTACTGCAGCTACCAGTGACCTCAGAATGAGAAGACGTTGGAATCCTTGTAGCCCATGCTGTGCAAGGCTGGAATGCAAGCTTTCTCTAGCATCACCGGAGGCCCACACATCAAGCATACAGTTTCCTCACTGGCAGGAAACAAGGTGGCTTTGGTCATGTCTGGAGTGACAAACCCCACGTGACCTTTCCACTCTGACTTGGAGTTCTTCTCATCAGAGGGGCTCACATTCTCGTCCTCGGAAGGGACTTTGTCGACGGTGAAGCTCAGCATGAAGCGGTCAGGGTGTTTGGCTGCCAACTCCTCAAGCACATCTCGTGCAAGAATATCATCGGGCGTCCGGTTGGCGAACAGAAGTCGCACCGTGGTCTTGTCTTCCGGATCTCGGAGGATTGCTGCTAGCACCTGATAACATGGGGTGATGCCAGTGCCGCCAGCGATCATGGAGATCTCTGTGACAAAGCGTGGCTTGCCATTTACAAGGCACTGGCCCTGGCCTTTGTAGACAAACTCACCGATGGGGCCTTTGACATCGATAGAGTCCCCAATCTTCATGCTGTCCAAGTGCTGAGACATCTTGCCACCGTCCGGAAAGCTCGGGTGCACGCCTTTGAAGTAGACTTTCACCAACAAGTCCACATGACCCAGCGTGCTGTCATCTGTCATGGGCGTGTATGCTCGCATCACCGGCTTGCCATCCACCTTGGCTTTCAGTGTCATGTGCATGCCGGTGGGAAGCCCCAGCGTCATGGACGGAGAAGGCAGCTTGAAGCGGAAGATCCGGGTGTCGTGGTTCACAACGATCTTCTCTGAAAGTTCAAGCTGCTGGCTCTCCCGGGGATTCAAGAATGGCACAGAGGATCCGAAAGGTGAGAGGAGAGCCGCACCCACGTACCACAGTGGCGATGCAAGCATGCTGAGAAAGCTCTGTGAAACTCCAGCCTCTGGTTCATGCTCGGCTTCCTTCAATGGGCCAAGGTAATAGTCCTTCAGCATCTCCCAAGCGCGTGTTGAATGCACTGCTTCAAAGTCCTCGGTGGCCTCGAGACCACCGGCAAGAAGGATGGAGGAAGCACCCCCAGGGTGGTCTTGCAGATATGGAGTGCCATCATAGACGTTACCCTTCACGACGAACCAGCAGCTCTTCTCGTTGTCATGCTTCTTCACTTCCTCCATGCTGATTCCTGCAAGCCACTCCTCCGTGGACTGCACCAACTTGCCTGCCTTGGTAGGTCTAATGGCCGCAGCTTGGCCAGCGGAACTGGCACCCGCAGCACTCACGGAGTCTATCTTGGCGCCCTTCCACACTGCAGCCACTGGCCGCGATGGAGCCACCCCAGTCTTCCCCGGTGTTGCCTCCACTGCAAAGCTTTCGTTGAACTGACCTGCTTGATCAGTCATCCAGCCACCTGGCATGGAGCCCTGAGTTGGATGCTCGAACCAGATCCTGCCGCCTTCGCGGTGGATCTTGATGCGGTAGATGGGGTTGTTCAGCATGCCCATGACGGTCCAAGTGAGTTGCACGGGCTGGCAATTCTGGTTGGAATCCCAAGCGCGGCAGCAAATCTCTTCGCACGCACTATCCAAGAGACGGCTCATGTCAACCTCCGTCTCCCACCAAGCCCAGCACCAGTGCTTGTCAGTGCCACGTGCTTCTGCGATCTCATCTTCTGGCCTTTGGAGCTCAGTGATCTCCCAAGACTTGCCCGAATCCAAAGAGATCTCTGCTCGGATGATCTTGTGACCTCCACCAGTGTAACCGTATCCGGAGACCTTGATGGTCTTGGGCAGGTTCTTCTCTTGCACAAACGAGTTGTGACGCGGCTCGAACATTGCCGAGTTGATGTTCATGTGGTTGATGATATACTCAGGCTTGTACCACCACCCCTCTGCATAAGCAAGATCGGCATCAACATGGGGAGGGAGCACACGGTTGTCGAAGTAATGGTAATGGTTCTCGGAAGGCTTGTCAGAGACCTTGGCAGATGGAAGGCGAACATGATTCTCAGACTGAGACAGGTTAAATGTGGGAAGGCCCGAGACACGGAGGTCCTCTTTCAAGTTCTGAATAGGTGCGAGCCTAAGGCAAGGTTTGCCGGCCTTTCGATCGCATCTCGACTTCAACAGCAAAAGATCTTCAACCAGTTGCGCACGAGTCCGACAGCGTGGGCGGGGTCAAGGCCGCGCTCGAGTTCAAAACGCCAGCCGGGAGTAAGCGAGTGTTCGGTCTCAAGGGCCGGTGTCTGTGTAGCTCGCTACCGAGATACGTTCGAGTAGGCGCAGTGAAGTTTCTCTACAATTCTTAGAAGGCGGTGACCAGAAGGCCATCTCCGACCGCCCGAGAGAGGGGGTTCAAGTGGAGGGACTTCACCTTCGCGCTTTTCTATGCCCTGAGTGACAGTGACATGCCTTTGAGTTGGATGGGCTTCCAGTCAAATGGTTGCAGTATGTTGCAGTCTAAAGCACGGCCCAATCAGCAAGAATGAGACGGGAAAGTAGTTGTTTACAAGAACTAGAATGCACAGATGTGCAGCCGCTTTCAAGTTCAAGCGACAAGGTGCGACGACGCGGATTTTAGTGCTCATTCCGGAACGGTTCAGGCTTCTCCTGATCGCGATTCGCGTCTCAGCTAACAGAAGCAGGCAAAACAAGACTACTGAACATGAAAACCCTAAACAGTTTTCTCTGCCAGTATGCAAGCA